TTTCAAAAAGTTTTTATAGATATTTATTTTGCTAGAGATTGCAAACCTTGTTTTGTAAATGAATGCACATTTCTGTTTACGAAAGAGTTTTCATGGTTCTTCAAAAGTATGGATGTGTTGATGTCTGAGACAAAGGTTTCAATAGAAAGTAAATATATTATAAAACCAATCACAAGTAATATCATTTGTATATCTGGCAAAAGTATCTATGTTGAATATTTTTTGATACTCACGATCCCAAAATCGAAAATATCTTTTTTATATGTCTGTTAGCCCAAAGTTTTTGGACGGATCTAATAGCTTCAGTTAAGTTTCTATCTTTAGATAAGATCATAATGCAAGTCAAAGAAAAGTAATTTTAATTCTTATTATTATTTTTTTGGAAAACGTGGATAAATGGGGCTTATTATGTTGTTATGTTGTGTGTGAGCTATGATCTAGGAAACTATATAAAACTGTATATATTCTCCATATTGATATTTTGGATTCGAAAAAGAGAAAAGCATTTAGTGAGTTTATAATTTATAATCAAAATTATAATTTCGAATTTTAACTATCTTTTTCTAAATTCAAATTAAACTTTAATAAATGAAGAAAAACTTGAAAAATGTTCAAATTTTAGGGAATCTAAGAATCAATGAAAGAAAAATTCGAAACAATAATATTTGTATTTGAAGACCTGAGTGTTATATATGATTGTCAAAGTTAACAGATGGTTTATCTATTTTGCCAATTAGTAACATGCATAAATAAGAAATGTGACTGAAAATCTTATTTAGTGCCCAAAAAGCAAACACTTATTGTAAAGCGCAATAAACAACAATAATATGAAAGTTCCAATATGGACGATGAACTACACTTGACATTTAATGATTTGTTGTTGTTGTTGGCGGGTTGTTTAGTAGTGCTGCAGAGTTTGTTTGTCATAAATTTGTCAGAATGCGGAGCGTATATTTATATATAAGTATATATACCTATATGCTGGTTTATTTGGTTTTCGACTGAGTTAATTTGGTTTTTCTCTTCTGCAGAGACGGACGAAACTTTCAAGCTGTCACATTGTGTTGTCTGACGTCTGCTTGTTGCTTGTTGTTTGTTTTTGTTGTTGTCGTTGTTGTTGTTGTTGTTGCTGTTTTTGTTTACTTTAAGCATAATTAGTAATACTGTCACGCAGTTTTCTTCTTCCCCCGGATTCCATTCTTTGAGCTTTGTAATCGTTTCTTGAGCCGTTGATTTTGTGCTTCTTTTCAATTTGTATGCCCTGTCGCTGTTATTGTCAGGTCTTTGATTAACTTTTCATTTAGACACACACACACACACATATTGTATGTAATATAATATACACACACATCTCTATTCGATACGAACATTCTATAGCGTATTCTTTGGTGCGTTGCATATTTCTGGTGAAATGTACGAGGGCTTTATGTATTTTTGATGAATGAAGAAAGTGGCCGAAACGCAGCCGCGTGACCATATGACCAAAACGCCATAAAGACTTTGCCCCCACTATACTAAACTTGCCCCCCCCCCCCCCCCCCTCACGCCCCTTTTAGACATAAGTTGAAGATGTTGAAGGTCTAGGCCTGGGCACACGTCTCATACGTGTCATTGAACAATTTAACTGGGTTAGTAGTAGAAAGTTGTGACAATGTTGTGCTACTAGGTGTGTGTGTGTGTGTGTGTGTGTGTGTGTGTGTGTGTGTGTGTGTCTGTGTGTGTTTACTTTTTGGCAATTACTGTGATTTGCTGCTGTGGAAAGTGTTCTGAGCGTTGCGATGCGTGAACAGCTGTTTGGGGTTTGTCTCTTCCAAGTGCTGCGTCATGCTCTTTGTTTGTTCTCGATAGCAATTATTGATAAACGTTCTCCATGGTCACTTTGTTGTGGACACACTTGCAATCATTATAATTGCTTGCATGCCGCCTATCCATTTAAGATTTAACTTCGTGATGATTAAACCTGCCTTATCCCTTAGATCCGTTTCAGGCCATTGTACCTTGATTTGATGTTTCATCCAAAATAAGCGAATTATCAATAATTGTTGCTGCACGTTCTCTTTCGTCAATTTATTGCTAATACTACAATTTGAATACTACAAAATGCAAACAAATTCTTTAGTTCTACATCGTTGTGGTATGTCAATTTGTCACAAATAATAATAATTATTATGAAACTATGATCCTTGCTCTTTGGTATACCATAAATTTCCTTGGGTATTTATGCACAACAACTACACACTCTGTCTTTAAAACTTCGTTGGGGGTTTTGGCACTCAAATTTGCCACTCATGGCACGCCTCGTTGATGTTTATGAGCAATTGGACAAATGATCCATTGGGTTTTCTGCAAAAAACAAAAAAAAAAACAAGAAAAGACCCTTTGACTTGAGTTTGGCAACGTTTGATGTTCAGATTAAGACCTAGAGACAATCATCATTTGGATGATGATGGTACTTTTCCATTTATTCTAACCAAAATTTTAATCACTTTGCTTTGCGTTAAATGTATTTTGGTGCCTTAATTGCAAAGTTATTAGCATTTATTGCGACGGCTGGCAATTGAAATAAATTGCACAAAACTCGTGAATCTTTGGCGCGGCTTTCCAGATAAGCGCCTTCGTGTGGCAATTGAGACCGTTTGTCGGTTTGGCGGTTTGCCGTTCCCAAAGATACAAGAGATTCAAAGTGATCCATCCGGGCGCGCTTCTTGCGCTTTGGCGCCATGCGGGCAATAAAATGTTTATTTTTGCACACCAAAATGACGACGACGACGACGACGACGACGACCAAGTTTCTTAATTGAAACAGCAAATGTGCGAGGCCCAAAATGCACAAACAAATGCCCAGAGTGTTATATTCGGGTGTGCTTGACTAGAAGGATGCTCTGCTACTTCTAAATGCTTCTCTCAGCTCGGCACTGAAATTTACGAACTTCAATAACTTTTGTTTTTATTTCCGGTTAATCCTACAAAATTCGGGACATGCTGGGGGAATTAACTTTTGCGTGTACCAAAAATCAGAAATTCATCCTAACTAATTTTATATTATTTCGATTTATTCAGAAAAATTAATTATAAATGAATAATTTGTTTTTATATATTTAAATGTGAACGGAGGTGTTCTAAAAATTTTAAGTAAAAATCTAAATATTAATTCTAACATCTTAAGTTCTTAAGATTGAGGAGCTTATAGAGAAAAAAATAGACATATGTTCAGCTTGCTGTTTCGATCAAGAATATATATTCCTCTTCTAATGCTGACGACTTGAGTTCTTGAGATCAAGGAACTTATATAATAAAATTATTGAACAGACGTTCAATCTGCGGTTCAGATCAAGATTATGTATTCCTCTAATCATTCGAACGACTTGAGTTCTTCAGATCAAGGAACTTATATGATAAAATTATTTGACAGATTTCTCTAAAATGCCTTTTTCTGCATACATTTACACAAACTCAAAACCACCCTTTTTAAGTCATTTTTAATTTGTACAGGGTATTAAAACTATTTTTCTTAAAAATAAAAAAAGAACTGTGCAAATTTGTCAAGAATTTGGCCAGCGGGCAAATGATGTATCTACAGCCCCAACAATACAATAATAATTCGCATACAAAATGTGCCTCATCAATTTTAATTGCCGAGAACCTAACAACTTTTTCAATCATTATTAATTTGATCTTTTGTTGGTTCTATCACACTTGGCAGCAAATTCGTTATGCTCGTATTTCTATGCTCTGCCTGCATATTTCTTTTCTATAATTTTCGAGTGTTTTTACTTGGGGGTTTTGCTATTTATTATTTTTTTTTTGAGCTGTCAAATCGAAAGCAAAAAAAATAGCAACATTTGTGACTATTTTTATGCTGCTCGCTGCCTGGCTGAGGCTGAGGAATTTCACTGGGCTGAGAAAGAAAAAAGAGATTTACACATCGACTGCATTTGATGCGGCTCCTAAAACGTTGAGCGGGGGCGGGTGGGCAACGAAATTGTGGTAATGGGGTTGCTTCTGGGCCATTTTGGGCTGTCACTTATGTGCAGAAACATTCATCATAAGTGGATTGAATCGTCTCATAACTTGGCACACTTGCGTTCCATTCGAAATGCAAATTTTATTTTCTTGAATAAACTTTTACTAAATGCACTTATTGTTGATTCTCTTGCAATGATTCTAATTGTTGTCTCTACAAATAAAATAGGCCTTTAGCAAATGAAAAATGTCTGGAACTGATAATTCTTCTGTGTAATTATTAAGCGTTAAATTTTTAATTAATGTTCCCTTGTTATGGAACACATCTCCGACCCCATAAATTATATATTTTCTAGATCAGCATAAGTCTTGAAACTTTGTATAGTTTCGTCTACCTGTTGCAGGCAGTATATGTCGGGAACCAGCCGGATCGGACCACTATATCAAATAGCTGCCGTAGGAACGATCAGTCGAAAAGTAGGTTCTTTTATGGCAAAATATTTTCATCGAATTTAGCCTTTATGAGCTTCACTATTTTCACATATCTGCAAAAGGGATTAAATAGATAGAACTTATCATTACTTTGTTATTTTTCAATTATTATGCATGTGAATTATATAAATATAATGGATTATGTGATCAATATATCTATCTATCATAGATTGCAAGACTATTATTTATCAACATGTTATTAGAGTTCTTTAAAATTTCATGTTTAACATTCTTAAGATAAGATAAATAATAAATTCTTAAATCAAATGACTTTCTTTTGTTACTTTACAAAAATGTGGCCCACTTTAAGCGCTTAGTTTTTATATCATTTTTATGCTTTATAGTTGGCTAGAGATTTTCTAAAAGCCACAGGGCAACTTACACAGCTCGAATAGCAACAATAAAAAAATGCATATGAATGCAATAAATGCGCTGGCGAATAAGCATTAAAAGTAGATTCCATTGAACGATTTTTTATAGCTTGTGAAATTGAACTCCATATCAAATCTATTTTTAATGGTTCTTCTACTTCTTTTTCTTTGCAGGCCTAGCAAATTCTTCTAACGCCTTTTTATGGTAAGTCTAATGTTTAAACGAACTTTAATAGTATGTATAATAACGAGTATATACATATGAAGGTGTTTGCAATTTCACCTAAAGGTCACACTTAGTAATTACTTGGCAGTTGTATATTAATTTATTTACTTAATGTGCATTGAATTATAAGTGAAATATTTATGGCTAAAGAAAGTTGCAATCGGCATTTGATTCGTTTGGGTTTGGCTTAAAAAGTTGATGAAATTATATTATATAAGAGGTTATTAAGGAATAGCAAGTCCTGATTTAGTTTCATGAGACATGTAGCTTATAAAATATAATCAATCTTTTCATATAGTTATAAATTATCGAACTAACTCTTACAATGGCCCACTCAAATATAATTATGCGTATACAAGTACAATACAATTCCCTTTCTGTATATGTAGGTAAAGGGAGGAGCCTAAATGAAAATTGAGAAATGTTAAAGACAGACATAAAAACGCATTTGAAAAGCAAAATTATTGTATAACAAGTTTATTGGACAAACCATGACCAAAATAGTATTCCAAAAAGAAATAGGCTAACTTTTGATGTAGTTATAGAATTTGAAAATCTGGGCATTGCGTATAAATTTAGTTGGATTAACGAATTCTTGACTTTTTTCACTATAAATCAACGCATCGACTTGTTGACTTTAATGCGCTCCAGTTCCCCGCCAATAGCCCTCATTTATGGTTCGATTTTATGATTTTATGACCTAGCGCCAGTTCGGAGTGCACGTAATGTGCATAAAATTCGAATATTTTTAGTGCGCATGAAAAGAATTATAATTTATGGCGACTCAAATCAAATGTGAAATAGAGCATACAATTTAAATTAGTTAAAATGGTAAAAAAGAAAAAGAAAATCCGATACAACATAATTAGCGGGCACAACGAAAATGAAATGCAGATGGATGGAGAAAAAAAAAAACATTTCTGTTGATTCTTCGCAATGCCTTATGGTCGCGGGGACCCAGTTACTTGGCCAGACAGTCGGCCAGCCAAACAAAACAAAGTTCCAAATGGAGCATACGAAGCCCAAACAGAAAGAAAAAAAAAAGAACAAAAATTTCGGCAAAGCCAACAACAAAAGAATTTTTTAAAGAGCAGAAAAGACGCGACGCGCTTTCCAACTGCAATGGAAATTGAGTTATAAGCGCACATACACAGATACACGTATGTGTATAAAAATGTATGTATTTTTTAATATATATGTATATATATATCTCCTTATATATATATATATATGGTATAGAAGCAAACAACGCTAAAAATGCGCCACAAAAATAGAGCACGGCATGTAGAAATGAAATTAGATGAAAATAGGCGCTATATATATACATTTACATATATGCACATATATATATATATATATATATATATACGTGTGTGTGAGTGTGTATAAAGATATATATACGCACACTCACATCGGAGATATTTGTGCTAAATTTGTGTGTGTGTGTGTGTGCCGAGGGTTCCATCCTCTGGCGCGCCTTGGCAGACAGGAATTCAATGCTCAGGAAAAATGGGCAAGAAAAGTGTACAAAACGAAGCTATAGCATTGGGAAATGTACATTTTTCTTAGTTTTTTTCGTTGTGTTTTTTTTCGAGAATTTTTGTTTTAATTTCTTATTTGTAGAGGGTATTATAATTTCGTCACGAAATGTGTAACGCACAGAACGAGACATCCCCGACCCCGTAAAGTATATACATACATATATATATTCTAGATCAGCATCAACAGCCGAGTTGATAAAGCCTTATCTCAAACTTTGCATAGTTCCGTCTTTCTGTTGCAGTCAGTACGTATGCGGGAACTGGCCGGATCGGTCCTCTATACCATATACACGGTCCAAACATTGTTGTTTTTCAAGATATCCTGACCAACTTCGTCATACATAAGTTTCCGTATGCTCCTCATATAGACATATAGGGTATATAATCTTCGGCATGCCGAAGATATCGCTATTTTCTCATGGGGACATTTGGGACAACTCAATTTATGGCGCTGCAAGTTGAGTTTTTTTTGGATTGGCATTCTGCCGGCGTTTCTTACTGGCGCTAGGTTTTTGGGATTAGAAAAAAAGAGATAACAAATCGAAGAAAATCAAAAGGGGAACAATTTTAGGCCAAGTTAGGTTAAGCTTTGTAGATGTAGTATATTTAATTAATCTAGATTTTGAAAATATTTTTCCCCTCACATAATGTTTTTCACAGGCTTATCAGCATGATGTCAAATTTTATTACCGATTTCTTGGAAATCAGCCATATTTAAGAAAGTCACCTTAACATATAATAAACCGCTCAGCATGTCAATTTTTTTTATAGTTTTTTCTTTTTATGAACAGTTACGACTCTAAGACTTTCTATAGATTTACGAGTTGCGCATTTAAATGTGTAGAAATTATGCGACCAAAAACGACTTATATACAGCACATCTTTGCTTTATGCCTCGGATTATTATGATATGCATAATAAACATAAAAACATATTTCGAGGTTGTTTTCATTGAGACACGTGTCTGGAAAGACAACTTGTTGCCCGAAACGCCCGAAACGCCCAAACAACGAGCAACAAGTCTCAAATCAGGAATGTTTCAAAAGCTTCGCTCTTCTTGATGGACAGGCTTGAAGGGGGAAGCATACTCCTATACAAACATCAATAATAAACTGTTATGGCCAAAAGTAAGAAATGTGAATAGCGCTCATCAGCTTGTTAATATTGTCGTCGTCTTCTTCTTCTTATTTTTATTTTTGCTCAAGTTTTGTGCCCAAATTTGTTGTTTGTCTTGGACTTTTTTGTCCTAAGGCGTTATATGGGTTCAAGCAGCATCAAAACAGAACCAAAATAAAAAGCAATTTTGGCTGGCTTAGAATTATGTTAAAATACTGACGAAACAATAGGGTATGCCAGATTGTGGGTATGCTATGTTATGTCTACTTTTTAAGTTTGTTAAAAAAGCAAAGTTAATTTTTATTTTGGCAGTTATTTGAAAAAAAGGTGTTGCCGCCTGATAGACTTACGTTAGACTGTAAAACATAACGTATTAATTAATTTATTATATTTCGAATATTGTTTATAATACTGATTATCTCAGAGTCGAAATACCCTTATTTCTGAATGCACTGGGTATTTTTAATATATTTATTTTAATGAAGTGTAAAGGCAGAGCGTAAATAAACTTTGGGTCAAAGCTTTCGTTGGAATGTGTTTTCCTAGAATATGTCGTTGGCTGTTTACCCTATTCCTTTGTGCTGTTAAACATGCAACGAAAGAGCTCGTCCCACAGCACATGTGTATGTTTGTTGGGCGACCTGCTAATTGGAATCAGGCTCCAAATGACATCATGAGAAAGAAATGTGGCTTGAGCCTAAACTCAAGCCGTTGCGCCACGCTATCATGTCTTAAGAGTCTTAAGAGATAATGCTAGAGCCGCATGTAAGTGCTTATGCAAAGGTTAATTAAAATATTAAAAATGCATGTTCCTGAAATGATATTTCACGGCCAAGGAAATGGAATTGGAATGGGAGGCCCTTCAAATAAAGTTCATGGCCAAGGAAATGGAATTGGAATGTCAGGCCCTTCAAATAAAGTTCAAAGTTCATGACAAACTGGCAAAGAGAATGGCTCAAAGTTGTAGGATAATAACAATGATGTTCCCGATGTTCATCATGTTGATTATGATGACGACCACAAAAAAAGATGTACATGACTTGGCTGCTCTCGGCCCACTCTCCGGACTCTTCGCTACTTGACAAACAGTAGCAAAATTGTTCAACTTCATTTGCTGCCTCATTTTCTGTGTTTACCTTCATTTTATTCTGCTTCGTTTTCTTGTTTATTATTATTATTTTCTACTTTGTGCATAAGTATTGTAAACATTAAATTTTCTCATGTAAATTCCCACGCATATTCCCTGGCTCTGCGCTTATAATAAAAATAATCAGTTAGGTTTTTCTGTGGTTTTCAGGCCCGGCCAGAGTTAGAGCCAGAGACAGTAGCCCTTCAATCTGGGCTTTTAATGATATTTCGTATGCCTAGCCCTGGTTGAGTTCTCATAGGTTAGTTGCTTGTGATTTGTGAAACTGTGGAAAGGGGGGAAATTGGAAATGGAAATGGAAATGCGCGTTGTTTGATGTGTTGATAAGTTGAATTACCCGCTGTGCATAGGGAAATGTTTTTGGAAATGTACGAGCAGAACATGCTCGAATTGTGAAGATGTTTTTGTTTTTATTTTTATGAGCTGTGGGCCGAAAGAAAGTGTTAAGTGATGCAGCTGATAAGACCGAAAGTTCTGCCTACCTGCTATATATAGTATAAGCGTTTCGACATTTGTTTCCTTCTTCGAGGAATTGTCTTTTTTCCATCCCGTTTCCGTATTAAAATTTAAGCCTGCAGATAAAGTTCAGAATTCGGGTCATGTTAAACCGCCGCAAAGCTTATTACCCAATTTTTATATTTCGTGTTTTGGCCAAATACAAATTTATATGCAAGTTGACAAGACAAGGTTTTCGTCTCCGTCTCCGTTTTTTTTTCAGACTGGTCTGAAAATTTTGTTGCTTTTGCGGCTTTTCGATTGGGTTGTGGTTTTAGGCAAAGCGTTTATCTCGTCACCTTTGGTATAATAACGACCGCAGATACTTAAATTGCGTAAATATCAGAGGTGTGCTTTAGAAAATATTGAAAAGATTATAACTTTGTAATGATCATTACATTTATCATTATATCTATATATACAACATTTTTTATCAAGAATAAGATTTACACCCTAGCAGAAAATATAACTTTAAAATCTAACTTTAATCCTAAAAATATTGAGTTATTTTTTGAGATAAAAAAGGGAGAAGTTATAATAATAAAATAATAATAATAATAAAATGATAATACCGTTAAAATAATATTAATAAAGAAATGAAAATATTAATAAAATAAAAATAACAATAAATATAATAACAAAATTAAAATTGTAATATATAAAACTAAAACCAAAAAAAT